GATACACAGAGTGATACAAAACCTGACTACACAATGGTACATGATACACAGTGTGATACAAAACGCGACTGTACAACTGTACCTGATTTTGTACGCGACTGTACAATAGTACATGATACACAGAGTGATACAAAACCTGACTACACAATGGTACATGATACACAGTGTGATACAAAACGCGACTGTACAATGGTACATGATACACAGAGTGATGCAAAACTTGACTGCACAATGGTACATGATACACAGAGTGATACAAAACGCGACTGTACAATGGTACATGATACAAAACGCGACTGTACAATGTTAATGATACAAAACGCGACTGTACAATGGTACCTGATACAAAACGCGACTGTACAATAGTACATGATACAAAACGCGACTGTACAATGGTACTTGATACAAAACGCGACTGTACAATGGTACTTGATACAAAACCTGACTGTATAATGGTACACGATACACAGAGTGATACAAAACTTGACTGTATAACGGTACATGATACACAGAGTGATACAAAACTTGACTGTATAACGGTACATGATACACAGAGTGATACAAAACTTGACTGTATAACGGTACATGATACACAGAGTGATACAAAACTTGACTGTATAACGGTACATGATACACAGAGTGATACAAAACTTGACTGTATATTGATACATGATACACAAAGTGATACATAACCTGACTGTATAACGGTACATGATACACAGAGTGATATCAAACTTGACTGTATAACGGTACATGATACACATACCATCATACAGTCACGTTTTGTATCATGTACCATCATACAGTCACGTTTTGTATCAGGTACCATCATGCAGTCACGTTTTGTATCAGGTACCATCATGCAGTCATATTCATATTTTGTATCAGGTACCATCATGCAGTCATATTTTGTATCATGTACCATTATACAGTCAGGTTTTGTATCAAGTACCATTGTACAGTCGCGTTTTGTATCAGGTACCATCATGAAGTCATATTTTGTATCAGGTACCATCATACAGTCACGTTTATAATCAGGTACCATCATACAGTCACGTTTTGTATCATGTACCATCATACAGTCACGTTTTGTATCAGGTACCATCATACAGTCACGTTTATAATCAGGTACCATCATACAGTCACGTTTTGTATCATGTACCATCATACAGTCACGTTTTGTATCAGGTACCATCATACAGTCACGTGTTGTATCAGGTACCATCATGCAGTCACGTTTTGTATCAAGTACCATCATACAGTCACGTTTTGTATCAGGTACCATCATACAGTCACGTTTTGTATCATGTACCATTGTACAGTCACGTTTTGTATCATGTACCATTGTACAGTCACGTTTTGTATCACTCTGCGTATCATGTATCATTATACAGTCAAGTTTTGTATCACTCTGTGTATCATGTACCGTTATACAGTCAAGTTTGGTATTACTCTGTGTATCTTGTACCGTTATACAGTCAAGTTTGGTATTACCCGTCAAACTTTTTAATTAAAGATGTAGCTTCTATTCTAGTGTTAGTTTTTTGTTCAGGAGTTTCACTAATTTTCAAAAGAGCGTCCTTCATATTGTAAAAGATTGTTTTTAAGATCATAAACAGCATCTGCTTTTGCAGACCATCTGGTCTTTTTTTTTTAGTGTTGTATTCTTCCCTAGGCAATCCGCAAGAATGTTCCATCATTGTGTAGAAGCATAGAACAATACAAATAAGTTTTGTACAAAATTAAAAATGATGTCTCTTTAGAACATGATCCTACTGCATAATTGCCGACTAGATTTAACGAATGGCTAACAGAAGGTATAATTAAGGATGATGATGCTTGCTTTTTAATTCGTGCATGAAGCCCCGAATATTTTCCAGCCATGCTTGAAGCATTATCGTATGTTTGTCCTCTAACATTTTTTTATGTCTAGATTTAATATTTACAAGGTATTTAGTACATCTTCCTCTAAATGTACAGCAATGTGAGATTTTATAGGAATAAATACAGAAATATTTCTTTTATTTCCCAATATATCTTATTATAAAAGTCGATCAATATGATTTACGTCCGGTGTTGAATCAATAATTACGGAAAAATAAATTACTTTTAACTTCGTTTGTGAATTCAAGCTGAAGCTGATTTGCCATTAATTTTATGAATTCATCCCAAGTTTGATGTGACAAATAACTTGACCCCGATTACTATAGCGTTCCAAATGATTTTTTTTAAATCATCAATTTCGCTAAGATACTCGTGATCTCT